TGCCACAAATGCTTCGCCTTTCGGTTTACCACTGTAGCGATCATAAAGCAATACAATTCCTGCAAGATGAAGAAGAAAAACACTATTACTTCAGCACATGAATTGAAACAGTACCCATAACAGGCAGACGTGGTACTTGCACTAAAAAGTAGCACTTTTTTCATGCTAAAGTCCGAAAGTGCGAAAAAAAGTCCCTCTACAATTCATTCAATAGCTTCATGTGGCACCTCCATGTGTTAAAGAGTCATAATCACCAACAGCACCTGTTTTTAAGCAACTTTTCGCAGCAAGAACCACCGAAAGTGGCTGGTTACCGCTGTTGTTTGCTTCAACTCGGGTTTCTTAGAGGGTAAAGAACGTTATGACGCTGTTAATAGCAACTACACGAACACATATCAAAGTGGCAAGATAAAGAAGCACTGATAAGCAATGGTGGGTTAAGCCGACTGTAGCAACCAGATTGACCTTGGAACCCTAAAAGGCGAAAGCGCGATAGATTACAGCATGAAAGAATAGTAAAAGGTAAGAGTGAGCTAAAACGTTCCAGTCCATTAACTCTGAGTGCCCTCGTTTCTCACAAAGAAGAAATTACGGAGGGTCTCGACTGTGCTGACCAGTGGAATAGTAGAATGGAAGGAGTGGTTTTGAGTGTCATGTGCCGAAGGACATTTTATCATGTGATAAGCCTGTGCTTCATGCAGTGACTCGGAGCCATTTGGAGGCTCAGAAGTTACTTGGAAAGGTCACCTGGAGGTTCAGGAATTACGCAGGCTTGGATTAAAGGGGCCGTAGAAGGCCGAACCAAAATTGGACGGCCCAGGTAGGGCCGAAAAAGAGGGCGAAATTGTCAAATGGTTTTCTGCGAAGTTGTAGGCCGACACATACCGAAGTTGGTCGAACCATACCATACGTACCAGCCGAAGAAAATTCGGAACGGCTGAATTCCGTAAGATTTAAAGGTGGAAGGGTGGAATTTTTTGGTGGATTGTGATAGGGAAGATAGCTGGGTTGTTGATGTGGTACAAACCTTAAGAAATGTTGAACAATCATTTAGGTGGAATAAGTAATGTAGGTGTTTCGCCAACCAAATAGAATATTATGAGCATCGTTTGCGGGCTGAGAAAAAAAACCAGAATTTTTAACAAACTATTCGGAAAAAGGAGGGAAAAAAAACACTTTGCTGGTGCACTGTTTGCTCCATTTTATGCTGCATATATGGACTTTTCAAAAATCTGCTGAATTTTGTCTGTGAAAATGAAAGTTGCTGCTACTGCAGCTGCAGCTGTAGCAGCAGCTCACCATTGTCGGCGATTTCAAGCGGCTCAAAGAAGCGAACAATCTCCTCTTTGGTGCATGCATACGGCAATCCGGACAATCGCACAACCGACGAGCCACGACTTGGCAGATCCGAACAGGGAGCGCCCGAACGACCGCCGTAACGCGAGTCCTCGTCCTCCGAATCAATCGCCGATACGTGCTCAAGCTTCAAAACAATTTTTTCAAAATTTTGTGAAAAACGCTTTCATGGAGCAAATAAATTCTTGCCCGGATGATGAAACACTAACTGATAGAATCCATTTCATGCTGGCAAGAATTTCACCATACAAATCTACACCCACGAGATCCTTTTTTTTCTCTTTTCTTCATCCATACGTCTCATTTTTCAACTCTCCTCCCATTACTAACTGCACTTGGAATACTGGATTTCGGTGCATAGTGAATTTGAACTGCATAAGTGCAGAAGCTTAAAGGTTACTAACTTCTCCCTTTTTTGCCCTAACTGCAGTGCTATGAATCGGATTGTTCGTGGGAAAATCGCTAATTCGGGAACCGGAAAAGAAGGGAGGCTGAAATTTTAAGGGGATATTCCCAGCGCAGTCGGAATCTCGTAGCACGTGAAGCCAGAACATGCAGGACTATTTAAAGGGTACCTCGACATATCGTTTGCCGATGTACTGCCTATCT